GATAGAAAAGATTCCTTTGAAATTTTGTTAGTACCTACTATCCTATTTAAGTAAGTAATTGATTTCGTAACCTAAGCATTGCCTCTTTTCTTTTTTTCCTTAGCTTATTCTATCATCTTCCTTTCCAGAAGTCTTCCGTTTTCTGAAGTTGTTCGATTGCCATGTATTTTCTTCCTTTCTTTTCCTTAATTTTTACGTTCCTTATTTTTGTTACTAATACGAGCGCTTTTTAGGTTCTCATATTTCTAAGCATTTCCAACGTTTTAAAATTAAAAATCTATAAATTATTATGTCTTGTGTTCTTTCTGTATTAAATAAGTATTTCTATACTGATTAAAATGCGTGTTAAAAAAAATTAAGTGGAGTCATTGAAACTTTTAACTAGTACGAAATGTTAACCTTATATTTTTAAGTCCGAGATTAGTTTAAATAGCTTGGCGAATTTTTAATTGTTTTTAAGTATTATAACGTCTTTATCTCCTTTATCGTAGCGTAGCGTCAAGTTTTGGGAGCAGAAAAAAGTCACAAGAGGCCAGGTCTGAAAAATACGGTGACTGAGGTAGCATTACTGTATTGTTTTTGATTGAAATCTTGCATACAAGCAACGATGTGTGATTAGAGGTACTATTTAGATGTAGAAGCCAGCATTTGTTTCTCCATAAATCCGAGTGAATTGGACGGATTGATTTGCAAAAATTATGATGCATCAAACCCATACAATCAGAGAAAACTGTGAACAAAACTTTTACAGTCGACCAAACATGGCGCTCTTTCTTTAGTCTTGGCTCACGCAGCAGCTTTACTTGGGATGGTTGAGCTTTAGTTTTTCGTCATAACCAGAAGCCCATTATTTGCCACCAGTTATGACCCTCTGGAGCAAATTTATGTTATTGTAGACCGAGTCCAACATCTCCTAACCAATGTTAAACTACTTTATCAATATTTTTGTCTGTTATCGACGTACTTGTGTGTCCAGCACACTCTTTGCCCTTCACATCTTTTCAGCTCTCTCAGAACATTTTGTACCACTGATATACGTTTTTTCCAGCCAAGGTAGCTTTACCATGTCCTACACTTCACCGTAGAAATGTGGACTTGCAAACTATTTTTTTTACACAAAATTTAATACTAATAATCGTAACATAAATGTCTTGAGCTTGTCGCGTTCATAGTATTCATTTTAATAGTTCTTTTTTTACTACGTAAACAAGTAGATAATGCGTGTAATGAGAAATTTTTTGTAACTACAAAGAGAATTTTTGGAATCGCTTCGTTTTATGATCACAATTCATGGAAAGATAGCTTTGAGATATAATCGTGTAAGTTTTTATTTGTTTTTAAATACATAGAAAATTGACCAGATTTTTTCTTCGATTTTTGCAACAAAACGATTATTAATTACAGAATTATTTTGGCTGCCCTGAACCTTACATTGTGGCTAAATCAAGTTACTAAATAAATTTTATTCAGGATACTAAGAACATTAATGTTAAGGAAAGATTTTTTTTTTTTATTCTGACCCCAAATTTTTATGGGATTCAATTTTGCAACATAAGGATATTTTTTTAACTCTCATATTTTAAGGTGGCTTGGGCGATTTTAAATGGCTTGATTAATAAGACCTCTTAAATTCTGGAACTATGTAAATTAAGTATGCCGGATTTAATTGCGATAAAAAAATACTAAGGTCAACCATTTAATTTTTATGCAAATTGCTACTGAAATTCACTAATTTAACTAGCAGTCTTATAGGAATTGTCACTCAAACGGCTATAACTCTTAAAGTACTTGATTAACCTCAAAAGTTTAAAATGGTACTTGTGTAATTTTTCACAAAGAATCTATTAAATTTTGAAAAATATAGGGTCAACCACTTAAATTCAGAGTAAATCGGAGGAAAACTATGAAATATTAATTTGGCTTCTGACTGCGTATGCTCCATAAGTTTGGCAACAGCGCCTATAGTGCATTCATGCGCGAAATTCAAAGGAGTTTGAAAAAAGTAAATAAATAAATGTTCCTGAAGTCATAATAATGATAGTATTCGGAATACTGATTGTTCTAGCCACGCTTAATGAATTTTCCTTTTTGTTTGCCCATGGTCGCATGAAGATTATACATTTTCGCACAACTTTAAAAAAAAGATTTGTTCGAGGCGGATGTATTTTGATGTATGAAACGACAACACGAGCGGGTATAACTATGGCAGCCGCTGAAATATGCAACGTTGACAAGCAGAAACGTACCGTCAATATCAAGTGCCTCGGAACATCTCTCGATTTTTACAATTAACATTTCTCGGTACGTCTGAGGCACTTTCTTGATCTTGTATTTTTATCTTATCAAAATAAGTATATTTATTTAAAAAATTATCGTCAAAAAGCGTTGATTTATTACGGACCCTTATGGCACTCTACCCTAGGTACGGCACCAATCGCCCAAGTCACCTTGAAGCATACTGTGTTGTAACAAATTCTACTTGATAGTATAAATTTTTTTGTGAATTAGGAAAAAAATTTGTGATAATGTGTATTTAATAACAGTTATTAACAATTGAGTGTTTACTGCGATTGTTTTAATTTGAACTGTTGTTTTGACTTACAAAAAAATTTTTAATTTTGAAGGATACTTCTTATTGATTTATGCAAGTTAATAATTTTTACATACATAAACAATAATTAAAAAAAAAATATACTTGAACACCAAACGTGCTATGCTGTACTTCGAACAGAGGGTTGCATGCTTTTGGGTTTTGATACTTGTAAATAAAAGATTTTCTCTTCCATGTACGAAAATTTAAGAATCTCTACTAATGAATCTGCCCTTTGTATGAATATAAAACCTTTATTCAGGGTTTTCCTTAGGGTATATCACTTTAAAAGGGGCTACTTCCTGTTACCACACTGCAGCCGCTTATTTCTAACACAATTTTGCTTATCAATGCATGAAAAGATACGGAGGGCAATGCAGTTTCAAAAAAAATGGATTCAAGTGCTCAATTATCTGTAAACATTGTCAAGACCAATTGTCCAAATATAAATAAGTGGCTGAATTCACGCAAGATACTTCGTCATACATGTGGGGCACCCTCAGTTTACGAGTTGCCCGAGATGCTCTTCCTCTCAGGGTGTATCGTTTTAAACGGAGCTACTTCCTGGTGCCCTACATACAAGATGAAGTATTTATTGTGAGTTTAGCTAGTTGTTTTCATTTGTAAGATTTTTGTCTCGACCATATTTGTAGACATTAAACAATCAAATCCTTTTTTTTGCATCTGCATTTTGCTCCGCATGTTTTCTTTCATTTACAAGTAAATTGTTTAAAAACTGTATCGAAAATAAGGCTATCAAACAGTTTAAGTACAACATTTAAAAAAAAAAATTTTTAATGCATTTACAATTTTTAAACTTACATAAATCAACAAGGAATACGTTGCAACGAGGTATAATGCAGAACATAAGAGTTTTATTTGTTTATGTTGTGAAATTGATTGTCTTAAAAAATCAGGATCCAAATTCTGCTCTTTTACATAAAAATTATTAGTACCCTCAATAAAATCCATTTTTTAAATTTGATCTAGCCATACTCTAAGGTTCAGGGTAGCCAAATAAATTTTGGAATTGATAATCATTTTGTAACATCATTTTTAATGTTAGACAAAAATTGTTGCGCATGATTAAAGATCCTTGTACAATAGCTTGGCCCAGCGGATCCTAAGATCGAGAACCAAAAAAACTGAGATACTCAGTCGAGCCAGAGTTGAATCTATAATGCCAGAAATCGTGCATCTCCAGACCTTGAAGATGCTGGAGCTATCTCAGCGTTAGGCGCTGTTCAAGCTCGTTAATACAGGGGTGACGGTGTAGAGAGAAAAATGTCTATCCAATCTAGATGGTTAGGCTGGTGTTGTATGACGGAAAATTTGTCTGACAACGTTGCCATTGCTGTGCCTCTCTCGCATGGATCATCGATTGCGCTTCTTCTTGTGTGTGTCTATTCAAAACGTGAAATTGTGGCAATTTGTATGGCGTCAAAGATAATGTATGGAATAGTAATAATCCTAAAATAGCAAAATGATGTATATGTATACACAGATGGTACACTGCTCTATATAATGAAAAAATTTTATAATATTCGGATTCTCACATTTTAATCAAGAAATGAAATAGAGTAGGTTACAGTATCTTAACCTAAGGCAATACTATTTATACAATGAATTTTGTTGTGCCTTCGAGAAAAGCTTTCTTTACTTTCATAAAATAGTTTTTAAATTGATGGGTGTATTCTGCAACCACCACCAGTCAGTAAATATAAAAGACATAGCAACATTGTGTGGTTGGAGGCACTACTGTCCATATTTACTGGTGATATGTTCCAAAATCTTGCCAATAGAAAAGTAGATGACGTTGATCTAGTTGCTCTTTTTCGTGATATTTACCTATGTTTTGTGGTCTGCTTTATTTTGTTTATATATACGTTCCGAAAACGTTTCAAAAAAAAGCAAGTACATTGACGTTGTCTGTTTTTTTATTGATGAGGTTGCGAAACACATCACTCATAAATTTTGACAGTAGCGCCCCCAACCAAGCAACGGTGTCACGTCTCACAGATGTTATTTTCTGGAGGTGATGTGTGAATACACCCACTATCTCTTTAGACGACTTTGTAATTGACAGGAACACGGAACATACCGTTTTTGGTAAAATGATCCGTATGTATAACATGCCCGTTAAGCCATGATGGTAAATAATTTTAGTATTAGTCTAATTTTAGTAACTTAATAGCTGGCTATAATATCAAATAATATTGCTTACAATTTAAATAGTCCAGATTGACTGTCACGTCAATTGTAATGTTTAAAAAATTTATTATTAGTATTGTATTTCACTACTGAAAAAGCGAACATTTATATGTATACATTTTTTTAAAATTGTTAATATTAAACGTAAGTTTCAAAATAAGCATATTTTTTGGTACATGACAAACTCTTTTTTTCACAGAGGATATTGAAAAGGAGTCTCGAGAAATATTTTCAGATGTTGAGGACGACTTTTCTTCGTTGAAGGGAGTTTTAAGTAAACTAGAAGACTGGAAGAAAGCAGATCCAGAATCATATAATGAAGCATATGTACCTTTATGCATTCCTAAAATAATTTCTCCTCTAGTTTGTCTTCAACTCATTACATGGAACCCTGTCATGGTAAAAAAAATATAGTTTTCATTATTTTTTTATGAGCCAAGATATCATGAATTATATTATGAACATTGAAAAAATTTCGCTTATGAAACTGAAAGTGAAATGATGGCGATTAGTTGTAATGCTTAAATCATCGTCAATTAATAACTTCTATCCAGATTAGAGGGAAATGTTCATGGTAAGACACTTTGCAACAGCTGACCTGTATATTCATACACCATAAAAATTAGAAAATTATACTGTCTTACATCCCTTAGCTAACAAATAATCAACATTAAACCTGAATCGTGATGTATGCCATGATCTTTGTGAATGGATTTTGAGCCCAATAAAATCTAAAGTAATTTAAAAATTACTAATTACCATCAATGACATGGAAATCCTTAGTACAGAATTAAAAATTTAAGTAACACATAAATTTCCTTTCAGTCTAATAAATTCTCAAGCGTAGTATGACAAAAAGTTTTAATTTTTCTGCATCACTAATAATGTCTCTATTTACTGGAATATGATATTGTACCCTCAAACATCTTTTGGTGGTCTTATGTCTTAACTTCAGTCTTTATCTTGAAAAGAAAATAAAAAAATATAATAATAGTGTATTGTACCAAAATAGATTTAAAATGCTGATTCAGAACTTTAAAAGTGGTCTAAAAAAATGTTTTCCTACGTTAAGAGTTGTTTTTACCTTTGGACATTCACTGCACCCTTAGGAAAAAAAGAGTTCGTACCTGGTGCGCATCAGTAAAGTTCCACCCTTTCGCGACCTTAACAAGAATTTTCTTCTCCTATTTCTGGCATGTCTTCTTTTGTCACTCTGACTTTTATCTCAGGAATAAGCTTCTGGTTCTCCCAGACCTTTTATCTCCGTAAAAACGGTGGGTTAAGTGTCTCTGTTGTAGCTTCAAAGCTCCTATTTCAGTTGTCTACCGTATACGTCAGTTGGCATTAACTAGTATTTGGTGAACGTTCTCTACGAAATACCTTGTTACAGTATTCGCATAAGTAAATGTAAATTTGTATACTTATTTGTCTAAATGACAGTTTTCAATAACTGGAGATGAATCAATGATTCACTGGCCGTTGTCAAGATACCAGTATGTAAATGAATACATCTTATTTATTTTTTATGCTTATATTTCTAAACTTGATGATTTCTTAATCGCAATAAAAAATTTAAGTATTGCTGAAAATTATTACTCGTCTTTGTCAGTTTGATAAAAAAAAATTTCCAGTATTTCTTAAGAACCTAGTTCATGGAATTTATAAATTCCGACAGATTTTTGGTTCCTAAAGTTACGGAGGTATTTTAAAGTAGATATCTTCAAAGTTAATGCTAAATTACTAAAATCAAAATTATTTGGTATGAAATAAAACATTTCGGACTAGCTTATTTCTTCCTGGATAAATGTAAATCCCTTATAACTCTTCTTTCCCTCTCTCTCCCTCTCTCTCTCTGTTTCTTATAATTTAACTCCACTTGCGCAAAGCATTCAACAAAAACATTTCTTAGCATACACATTTATACTAAATTTGATAAACAATTTTTTTAACGCACGTATCAATTGTTTTGATCAGTTCTTATTTTTATTGTACCTGTTATTTATTATTTACCCATGATTAAGCTTGATCACGAAGGACCGTCTCTATTTAGATAGCTTATACATAGATTTCCCGTTCGATAAATAAGCATTCTCCTGTGTAAATTTTAACCATCCTTCGTTTCTATGTCTCTAATAGTCCTTGTAACTGTATTTTCTGTCTTTTGCCCTTGGTAGGAAAAAAAGGATTCGCCACATAAATGCCATGGCTCTGCAGCTATCTTACGTCCCTTGGACCCTGCTTCGCAGGTCCCTCGTGCCGCAAAATAGCCCTGGAGACGACGGCTCTTATCCGACGAAAACTACTATTCTATATTTTCTTACCATGGGCCCAAAGTGCAAGTGCCACTTTGCGCTATCGGGTCACACTTTGCGCCCTAGTAATTACTTTGGGCCAACGAGTAGAAAAGTTTCTTGCGCCTCATGAGCCCAAAGTAATTTACTGGGCGCAAAGTGTGCCCACGGGCGCGAAATTTCACTTTGCGCCCTCGGTAAGAAAAATATTATACGCAACTCGGGCACCAACCTACAACAAGCGTGTCCTTCAGGCGCTCATTTTTGTACTTAGTGCCCTAGTGACGTAATGTACCATTTTTTACTGATTAAAATCGTCTCTTGTATTGTTATGATACTTATTTTGGTCTAGTACCATACAACCTAGTATCTGCGTTCATAATAAAAACACAATGTTCCCTTAGCTTGCATATGTGATAGCTTTTTTTTTACTCTTTCTCTCTTACTGATTTGTCATAATACTACGTAGAATTTTGCTATAAAATTTTTAGCTGTAAATTATTAAAATTTTCTTCGTTTTAAGATATTCTTGTAAGTACATCTCCTTATCACTTACTAAATACGGAACTTTACGCATGGTGTTTTCAATAATGATGTCTGTCTATTTTCCTGCTTGTTCTTGCCTCTATAATTTTACCAGTTACGTAAAACTACTTTTGTCTCAAATTTAATACGTATATTGTACCATCACTAATGGTCCCGTTTTTTCCCACACTTTCTTCAGCTGGCTTATGCCTACTTTTTTCTTTATTAAATTTTTTTTATTTTTTATTTTTCAG